ACCAACCAGAGCATTTCGCTGACTTCAAAAAACAGAGGAATGTATGCCGAAATGTGTTGAGGAGGCAACGGACGCAATATGAGTCAAAAATTTTAAAAAATATCCCGCAAAATTCAAAAAAATTCTTTGCATACGTGAATAGGGCAAAACGCAACCGGGACTGCATTCCCTGCCTAAAAGATCGCCAGGGAAATACGTTGTCTGACATTTCAGATAAGGCGAACCTGCTGTCCGACTTCTTCACGTCTGTGTATACCGAGGAGCCGGCTTTTCATGATAGAGTTTACCCCCAAATTGTCAAATCAAACAATACAATTAACACGGTGGACTTAACAACAGACACGGTAAGGAAAACTTCGAGTCAACTGCAGCCCACTAAATCCCCTGGTACGGACGGCGTGTTCGCAAAAGTCCTCAATTAACTCTCAGACCAACTGGCTTCTCCGTTATCCAAGATCTTCAGAACTTCGATTTAGACCGGGGTTTTGCCTACCGACTGGAAGAAAGCAAATATAAGCCCCATATATAAAGGTGGCGAGAGAACAGCCCCAGATAGCTTCAGACCAGTGAGTCTCACTAGCATCTGTTGCAAGTTGATGGAAAAAGTAATAAAAACGGAGCTGATGCGGCATCTCGAAGAAAACAACTTGCTCAGTTTACATCAGCATGGATTTCGAAGTGGTCGATCCTGTCTCACGAAGTTGTTAGTATCCATGGAGAGCCGGACGAAATCAACCGACATGGGCTTATCAGTCGACGCCGTGTACATCGACTTCAAAAAGGCTTTTGACAGAGTTCCACACAGACGACTTATATGTAAACTACGTCAAGTGGGTGTGAGTGGAAATCTGTTGAAATGGCTAGCCGATTTTCTTACGGGCAGATCTCAGCGTGTGTGTATCGGAAACACTAAATCGGAATGGGCATCCGTGCACAGCGGCGTTCCGCAGGGAACCGTTCTGTGTCCAATTCTGTTCTTAATATATGTGAACGACTGCCTGGACTGTCTGACCTGCGAGCGAATAATGTTTGCCGACGATCTAAAATTGTGGAAATCAATAGAGAAGCCGGAAGATTCTGTACATTTAAAAGACAATTTAAATCACTTGCAAAAATGGTGTGATGAGTGGTTTCTTAGCCTCAATCGTAAAAAATGCCAACTTATCCGATTACGTTAGAGCAGCAGGAGGCCGTTGAGATTTGAATCTCAGTACTTTATAGGAGGTAACCAACTCGAATCAGTCAACGAGTTAAGAGACCTCGGTTTGTGAATGACGTCAAATCTCAAACCATCGTCTCACTGCGCCAAGGTATCAAAGAAAGCTACGGGTATCCTAGGCGCGATTAGAAGATCCTTCGTCAATAGAAGCGAAGAGACGAGTCCCAGGAAGTAGTCTCGAGGAAGGAGACACGATCGCCGGGACAAGAGCATTATTAGCCTGACGTTTCGGATTCCTACTCGAATCCATCATCAGAGACAAAAAAGAAGAAACGGGTGGTAGTTGCACCAGGGGCTGAAGTATTTATAGGATGCAGTAGCCATGCTACCGCATACCTATGAACATTCACGGCTCCCCCTTCATCCGCGATTGTCGAACTTGGTGTGATCATTGCTTGATGGCCGACATTCGAGTCGATAATTGTTGCGATTTCATTACGTGCGTTGGATGTTGGCGTGATGATTGCTCGACCATCTGACACACCGACCTCAGTGTTGGGGAAAGTGTTCACCTCTGCGCTCCCCGCAGGGCTTGTTACTCCGCCTAGGCGAAATTTTAGCACGCAGTATGGAGTGGTAAGATCGTTGCACTTGTTGATAGACTGTAGCCCATTAAACCATAATTCCAGTAGCTCCCGGCTCACGCGGTTGTCACCTCTTGCGAGAATTTCGGCCTCATCGAATTTGAATGTGTGGCCGGATCTCGTCGAATGAGCCGCAACTTGAGAGCTGGCGTCATTTCTGCGCACCGCTGCCGCGTGTTCGGCCATTCTCGTTCGGAGTTGCCTTCCGGTTTCTCCGACGTAGTTGCTTTGTCCGCAACTGCACCAGATCCGATAAACGACTCCAGGCGAAGTCTCAGCACCGAGTATGGAATGGGAAGATCATTGCACTTGTAGATGGACTTGGGGTCAGTAAACCATTGCTTGCCTCCCGTCTGTGTGCAACTCCAACCCCAAGTTTTGCGAGAAGGCGACCGACAGCTTCCGAAACTTTCTTGCCGTACGGAAGTGCCCGCCAATATTTTGTGTCCGTGCGGTTAGGCCTTTCGTCCCTTTTGCGTATGCACCGGTCAACGAAGTTGCGGGGGTAGCCATTGGTTTTGAAGACCCGTCGGAGGTATTGTGGTTCGGCAATTTTGTCTTCCGGCTCACTGCAGTGCGTTTCGACACGCCGATAGAGCGTTCTTACACAACTGCGTTTGTGGCTGATTGGGTGGTTACTGTTGAAGTTCAGTACTTGCATCGTATTTGTCGCTTTCTCGAACACTTTGGTTTTTAGTCCACCACAATCTTTGCGGCATATTAGGACATCCAGGAAGGCCAGCTGGTTGTTCTCTTCCTCCTCCATCGTAAATTGAATGTCCGGGAAGACGGCTTTGAGATAGAATAGAATAGAATAGAATAGAATAGGTTTATTGTAGCGCCCCTTGGGCACTGTCAGTCCCCTTTGAACTCAGGAAAAAAACCTAAAACAAACTCGTCAATTTCAACTGCACTTTGACTTCATTTGCTTCGGGTGCCT